CATTTAAAAATCATAACCATTTACGACAGTCATAGTTTTTACTAAATAATAATTTACGCGCACGCGCACACGCACATAATAAAATAATAGAAACGAATAGAAATAGAAAAAAAACAAATATTTATTTATTTATATAAATATTAAACGTAATAAAAATAAAAATAGAAAAAGAAGAAGAAGAAAAAAAATTAAAAAATAAAAACAAAACTACTACTACTACTTGTAACGGCGATAATTTAAAAATAAAAGTAAAAAAAAAAAAAAAAGTAAATATCCACTGTTTAAACGATTTTTAAACGTTTTTTTTTTTTATGAGGTTAGTGATAATGTCTTAGGACAATCCGTAAAAAATTTATTGAGGCATTAAAAAGGCCATTAATAGAGCATTACTACTATTTATTTACATCGTATATCATTTTCAATGGTTTTCGGTAAGGATATGATCTTTGATTGACACTAATTTACCAACTTTTCCTCTTACTTTTTTCTTTTTAAATATTATTATTATTATTATTGTTTTATTTGAATATAAGTGAAGTATTATTATCAATTTGAAAGTTTTTTGCCTCGAAATAAAAATTAAAAAAAACGATGCGAAAGTGCGTTTAAAAAAAAAAAAAAAATCCGTCGGATAAAATTTTTAAATGTTTAGTTAACACGTTGTAGTGAAAAAAAAACCGACGACAAACGGAAAAGTTTAAATTTTAAAATTTTAAAAATTACAATAATAATTTATTATTATTATTATTATTATTATTATTATTATTATTATTATTAATATAATTTAAGTGAGTAATTAAAAAAAATGAATTTATTAATTTTGGAAAATAAATAATTCGAAAGTGCGAGTTTTATTTTTTTTTTTTTCGGTGGAGTTATTTTTATAAAAAGTATATATAAAAAGTTTTTAAAAAAAATTATATTTATATTTTGTATAAATTTAAATTTAAATATATATTATAGTTATAAATCTTTTTTTTATAGCGCTATAATAGCTATTATATAACCGTTTTTTTTTTCAAACGATTCGATTTTGTATTTTTTTTATTTTTTTTAATAACAATTATAAATTAATTTTTTTTTTTTTTTTTTTTTTTAGATTCGTTGGAAAATTTTGTCGGCTTGATTTTTATATTGGAAAATTTATCGATTTAAATCAATAATGATCGATAATTAAAATTTTTTAAAAAATCGATACAATTATTATTATTTTAAATTTTCGGTGAGTGTTTACAAAAAAAAAAAAGTTTTTTTTATACTGTTGTAATTGTAACCATTTCAAAAATTTTTTTTTTAAATTTCTCTCTCTCTCTCTTTCTCTTTTTATTTAGGATCAACGCATTTTTTTCCTTTTAAATACTTTAAAATAATAATAATAAGTAAATATAGAAAATATTGTAAAAGGAAAGAAAAGAAAGGAAAATTCAATCATTCATCTATAACGTGTAGGTTTTTTTTTTTTAGTGCTTTTAGCGCATTCTAGTGGATTTTTTAGTAAATATTTAAAGGCGCACAATTTAAAATGTTTTTTTTTTTTTTTTTTTTTTTTTAATGAACGTTACGTAATGTTGAAAAAATAAAAAATAATCCCTGATATTTTCTTCTCGTATAAAAAAAAAAAAAAAAAATTCGAGTTTTTCAAGAGAGTAAATTTGAAATTCAATATATATATATATGAATTTAGAAAATGAAAATTTTTATCTGATTGTTTTTCATGTTTTTTTCTTTTTTATTTCTTTTTTGTTTTTTTTTTTTTTAATTTAAAATTTTAAAATCACGTTTATAAAAAGAGAGAGAGAGAGGGGGGAAGAGAGAGAAAGAAAAAATAAAACTAGAATGTTTTCAATTACAAATATTAATTACAATAATTTGTTTTTTCTCTTTCTTTCTCTCTCTCTCTCTCTCTCTCTCTCTTATTTTTAATGCATTCGTGACCAAACAAACTACTTTTACTCATTTTTTCAATAGATAAAATAAATAAATAAATAAATAAATAACGAGTTAATGACTCTCGCGAGTACATTTTTAAATTTCATATTAAAAAAAAATATATAGTTATAGTCTTATTTGTTGATCTCTTTCCTTCTGGAATTTTCTACAATGAACAAAGTGAAATTTTTTTTTACGTAATTTATTACATTTTTAACAACCTTTTTTCTCATCTCTCTCTTTCTTCTCATTAACGTTATTATTTTAACCGTATTAAAAAAAAAAAAGATCAATTTAAAATTTTCTTTCTAACTTTGTCTTTATTTTTATTTATTTTTTCATGTTGTCCTTTTTTTTTTACGACAAAAGGTTTCGCGAACCTTTTGTTACATTCAATAAAATTTTAATAACTTTAATAAATTAATAAAAAAACAAGTAATATATATATTTTTTTTTTCGCTTCGTAATTTTTTTGACACCTTTAAAAATTTTATTTAAAGGTAAGATATCAAATAATTTCTTATCACGTTTCAAATCATTTTAAATAAATTAATTATTATTATTATTATTATTATTTTAAATATTTTTCGCGGGTAAGTAACAGCGCGTAAAGGATTTTGATGATTATCTTTTTATTATTATCATTTTCATTCGCTGTTTTTTTTTGGGTGTAAATAAGTATTAAGATTCAAAATGTAGAAAAAATAAAATTTTTGATTTTGTTATTTAATATATATAAAATAAAAAAAAAGTATGTATACGTCTTAATAAAGATGTATACGTTAAATACATAAATTTTATTTATTTTTTTTGGAATTTTAATAAGTTTTTATTTTTATTCAAGACGAGGATAATAGGATTTAATAAAAAAAAAATTTATTGATAATTTAAAAAAATAAAAAAATGAAATATTTAAATTGACCATGAACGAGAGAATTTACATTTAAATTAACTTTAATTTACTGAATTCATTTGAATTTTAATTTATTTAAATATTATTATTATTATTACTTTTCTTCTGCTATAAATTTCGATAAGTTTTTTTTTTTTTAAAGTAATTACACGCTCATTTTTTTTTTTTTTTTTTTTTTAGGGAGCACGTTCAATGAAAATTCAAACACGTTCGTCAAAGTTGATAAGAAGTGGAAAAAAAAAATTATGTGGATTTTATTTAATTGATTATTACGGACAGTGGAAAAAAATGTTATTAAAAATAATAATAATAATAATAGTAAGAATGATATGATTGGTTTAAGGTAATAGATATTTGATAAAAGGTCAATTGATAATTACGATTACGTTAGGTCAATGTGAGTTTTTTTTTATTTATTTTATTATCGTTATTATTATTAATACTTGGAATTTTTTTTTTTTTACTTTTTGCATTTTAATGATGGAAAAAGTTTTTTTTTTAGATTGTTTTAATAAAAAAAAGAAAAGTCAATCATCGGCGAATACTTAAACCGCCTTTAACATGTTGCCAAGTTTATTTCTGTCGTGGTTTTAACAAGTAAAAACAATTTTTTTAAAATAAATTTATAACGAATAATAATATTAATTTTTTTATTTATTATTAATTTCAGTTTGTTTTTTTTTTCAAAAATTAAAATTTTTTTTTTTTTTTTGTAAATTTTTTTTAGAAAAGCTACTGCTGTCGCTGCTGTTTCTACTACCACTACTACTACTACTAGTTCTCTGTCGTTGTGTTTTAGTCGACAACAAATCGTTCTGGAATATTTTCTTTTTAAATTTTTTGAAAAAATTCTATTCATCAATGGAGTTTGTGTATGAAAAATAAAAAAAATTTTTTTTTCTGATCGAACGTGGCAGAAGAAAAAAAAATTTAAGGGTTTAAACATGTGCTGTTTGTTATTACCACGTATGATTAACGTTAATAAAAATTTGGAGTGATTATTTATTTAAAAAAAAAATTATTGATAATAAATACTTCAAATCGCTTAAATTAATTAGAATTGTTTTGAAGCACACGCACACGCACACCCGTAGTACACGTGCACCCTTTAAAACACGCATACACAATAATTTACTTATAAAAAAAAATTTTTACGCACGCTCGTATGTAAAAAAAAAAAAAAAAGTTATAATAATAACAATAATAATTTATATTATAATTATTATTACAATAAAAGTAAATAATAAAATTTAACGCGTTTAATTCCGTATGGTATTTTAATACTTTATAATGAGTAATTATATTTTATTACCTTTATTACAAATTAATAAAATAAAAAACCGGGAGTAATAATAATAATAATAATAATAATAATAATAATAATTTTTTATTTTATACGCACGTGAATAAATTGTATTTTTATTTTTTTTAAATAACTTTTACAAATGAGAAAAATATTTATAATATTTTTTATCATTATTATCATATTATACTTAATCGAACGTATGTATATATTTTTATAAAACGTGGCACTAATACTTTTGTTTTTTTAAATTATTAAAAATAAGTCACGTGGTTTTCTTTTTTTTAAAAAATATTTTTCGTTTATATTTTTTGTCAGATTTATTTTTTTTTTTTTACTGTCGATATAAATTTATTCATTTTAAAAAATAATTTTAAATTTTTGTAGGATAAATTTAGTATATTCAATCAATCAATCAACTAACCAATCAATCAGTCAATCAATCAATCAATCAATCAATCAGTTACTAAAAAAAAA